AAATTGAAAAACATATTTGTTGATTTCTTAATTTAGAGTCTCTGTTGATTATAGAGGTTTCTTTTTATTATTATATTTTTATCATTTAAGTTTAGAATTATATCGATATTTTTACTTTCATGATAAACTTTATGCACTTGATCCTAGGCTAGATTATCTCACACTGTGTCTTTACTTTAAATTTATTTTTTATTTCTTTTGATCATAACAACATTTATTACACTTACCAGGTTTCACGGCAATCCCCTTCACGATCTCCTTGCATCCCCATCACTAAAATCGTAATTGGCAGACATTAATCGAACGGTAAAAAATTGTAATAGATTCTGACAAAATGTGAAAAAAAATTGTGATATCAAATATAAATGTAAAATATTAATTTATTGTACTTTTTTACGACTATTTTATGTTTTTTTGGGAAATGATAATATTTAAAATACTTTTGACTGTTCTGTACTAAAATAGGTTCAGAATACACACACTGACGTAGTCATCTAGAATATTTCAACCTTATAACCCGAGCGAAGCTAGTTAAATGACAAGTTATTACAAGTATTGTTATACAATCTCGCCGACTTGTGTAATATTGCTAATAAATATTAAAAACACGGTAATACCAAAAAATACGGACGTTTCGGAATTTCCTTAAATTCCATCATCAGCGTTGATATCTCAAAAAACAAAGTTAGTTCATAATATTCGAACTACAAAAAACATTAGCATATTACCAACAGATTAAGCTACGTTTAGTATTTACGTCAACATTTATAATATATAAAAATATAATAGTACTGTCTGTTGTATGTGCATGTAACCATTTCGCAGGTGTGGATGGATCTTTACCAAAATTGGTATGGAGGTTCGTTAGATCCATGAGGAAATACATACAAATTTTCAGTTTTTATGGGCGTTTTTACCATTACTTCGCCCCTTTTGATGGATATTTAGCAGGTTTGTTGGGTGCATTCGGAGATACGTGCAAATTTGCGGGTTCAAATTTTGTTTTTAGCTGTTTTTATGGGCATTTTTACATTTTTTACAATTACCTATAAGGGAAGCAACTTTTTATATCATAAGATAAGCTTAAATTTATCACCAATTTACATAACTTCCATCCAGGGGACCGGTACTCCAGCTAGTAAGAAACAAAATAATATGACTTTAGAGCACTGGTAGGAATGAAGGATTTTTATATAATGGCAATAACTGAAACATCATTAAACATAGACGATTTTGATGATAGAAATTTCTTTGAAATACAGGGTTACAGGCTGTTTAATAGGGATAAAATTCTAAAGAACTGAGGAGAAGGAATAGTTTTATATGTAAAATATCAGTTACATCCTGTTGAAGTTGAGGATATCAAAGATAATAGCAAGGAGATTGAATCCATTTAGGTTCTGTTAGTGGATATAAAAGCAAGACCACCAGATGAAACTAGTGAAAAAACTGTTCAATGAGATTAAGATTTCAACTGTTAATGAAGTCATAATTATGGGTGATTGGGTATATAGATTGGGAAATGCTAGTCAAACTGTGAGGGAGAAAGATTTTTTGGAAATTGTTCAGGATGGCTTTCTTCACCAATTAGTCAAGGAACCTACTAGAAACAATACTATTTTAGGTTTATTGTTAACTTCAAATGTAGAAATGGTCGAGAGGGTGGAAATTGGGGAACATCTGGTTGCAAGTGATTATTGCTGTATTAGGTACAACATTTTTCTGCATATGGAGATTAGGTTACAAATGTCAAAAAAGCAAATTTGGAAGGAATGCAACAAGATTTATCTGTTTGGAATTGGGCAGCTGAGTTATTTGGAACACTGATCAGATGTGGAGAAGTTTTGAAGATAAATTTGTAAATGTTTAAGGTTAACATATTTGTTATATAAAGAAAAGGGTAGCTGCAAGTAAAAAACCAAGTTGACTCACAAAAAGATAAAATTAAAGAAAAGCATAAGGAATTTAAATTGACTAGTACGACAAGAGATTTATAAGATTATAGAAGATCAAGAAAGTTGGTGAAACAGTAAATTAGGACATCAAAAAAGATGTTTGAGAAAACGTTGGCTAACAACGTAAAAATTAACAATAAGGATTTCTTTAAGGGTAAGAAAATTATAGCATGGGTTAGGACCCTTGAAGGATGGTAAAGGAAGGCTCGTAGCTGATGATTATGATATCGTTGGATTATTAAATTTTGCTTTTTCTTCAGTTTTAGTAATGAAGATTTAAGCGGTATTCCACATCATGAACAGTTGGTAGATGGAAATTAGATCGAACAAGATCACTGCATTAATTCTAAGCTTGTTAAGAATAAATTGGGAAGTTTAAAGAATGATAAGGCTCCTGGGCCAGTTAATATTTCCCCAAGGGTTTTCAAGGAGGTTAAGGATTGAACATGTTAGCTAATGTCACTCCTCTTCTCAAGGGAGGTGACACAATTGTCCCAGTAATTATAGGTCCATGAGTCATACATCAGTTGTGGTAAAAGTTTTGGAAAATCTGATTAAAGATGCTCTGCAAAGCCATTTAACAAAGTTTAAAATTTTATTAGATAGACAACATGGTTTCACTAAGGGAAAATCTTGCCTTACAAATCTTTTGACATTCTTTGAAAAGGTTGCTGCTTATGTAGATGAAGGTAAGTAAGGTGTAGATTTGGTGTACCCTAATTTTCAGAATGCATTTGACAAGATGCCACATAAAAGGCTTGTAAGAAAAAAATATATCTATAGGTGTGGAGGATAAGTTAGCAAATTGGATAGAAGAGTGGCTGGATTGAAGAAACCAGTGAGTTCAGTCAAACTGGATTAATATTTCAAGTGGGGTACCTCAGGGCTCAGTCTTAGGACCTTTGCTATTTTTAATTTACAGCAATGACACAGAAGAAAGAATGGTCAATAGATTACTTAAATTTGTAAATGGTTTTGGGTGTTGCTAGCTGTGAGGAGGATGCTGCTGATTTACAAAAGGATTTAGATCATTCAGTGAGTGGGCAAATACATGGCAAATGGATTTTAATTATAATAAATGCAAGATATTGCATTTAGGTTATCATAATTTGAATTATAAGTATAATTTGGAT